GAAATATATCAAGGTATCTCATGATGAGTTGTATTTTTGTTTTGCCTTAATGTATTTTGATTCCAGTATTGTAAGAATTTCATCAGCCAATGAAAATTGGGAATTTGATGTTTTTCTATTAGTTTAGTCCCTGTTCTACACAAGTGTATCTAGATTAGTATATATTTGTTATTTCATTACTTAGGGGGAGATTGTTAAACCCCATAATTCATAATGTAAAACGTAATGAAAAACAACAAGTGATGAAGAACCAGAAAACCGATGAAGACATCAAGGCAGAAACGGCTAAGTCTGGAGCACAACCAGAGGACCGATGGACGACCAAGGATGCGATGGAAAGTGCATCTCCATCATCTACGCTTAGAGAATTATCCAGCAATTCATCCTGATGCATGCGATGAAGACTTAAAGATAAAAATGATCCATCACATCATGAATGACAGCTGGAGATGACAAGTCAACAGCTAGACTTCGAGTTTATCTTTGATATTAAAGCTTATCCATAGTTTAGATAAACGTTATCTGTTAATAGAAGATTAGCTAAAATGTCTCACTAAATAGTTATCTTCTTATTAGCTTATTAGTATAAATAGGTGGTTAGGCCGACTGTAAAAAGCAGCTTTTCGTTTTTATTATTTATAAAGTGAAATCTTTGACGCTCTAGATTGTTCATAATTGTTTATATTTCTTCTTGAGTGTTCTTCACTTTCTTCATCAAATCACTATAATTTGGTTATTATTAACTAGATTATTAGTGTTATTGAGAGATCTGGGATCAACACTCAGGATCCACACCTTCCAAGAAGACAGACATCTGATTCTTCCAGAGACTGAAGTTGTCTCTTATGAAAAGGGGAGGTTTGGCAAGAGAGCCATTATTGTGAAAGTGAGTGCTAATATTTTGTAAATCCAATTGTAAAGGAATAAATTATCTAGAGAAGAGAAGATAATAAAATACCGATAAAACAACAAAACAACACAAAAAGTAAAGTCTGCTCTGATACCACTTGTTGGTCCCAGCTGGATCTACAAGAGTTTATAGGTAACAGTTTGTAGATCGGGGGGATGAATACAAACACATAAACTTTCACTTTTAAAATTATATATTGATAAAGAAGGATCAATACAAAATTTACAGATTGTTTACGAAAAAAATGAAGTAAAGAAAACCTATCTAAACAATCTAGAGGTACACACAAATACACTTAGCAAATAGAAAATATTTGTTGTAAGAAATTAAGACATGGAAATGTGTTCTTCACTTTCTTGAAGTGGTTCTTTCTCTTTAGAGAGTAGAGAGAGATGTCTTCTTGGGTATGCTTCTTAGAATGAGAAAGACAAATTCCAATTGCCTGTGTTTGAATGGAGAACACTCAGCTATTCATACACATTGCATTAAATGCAATTCAGAAGGTATACAACACGTTTCAAGCTTTTGGGGGAAAGCCTGTCATTTGCTACAGTGAATAGTCATTTTGTCTATTCATGAGCAGACATATTTTCATAGAGTTCGTGGGCACTAGAGTCAACTAATTGGCTCCATACAGTACTACGCTCTAGAAAATGTATGGTTTTGTCCTTAGTGTGTGGAAGAACAAGACAAAAATAAACGTCCATGATAAGCTTCATTTGATCGTTGAATGCTGGGATGATGCTGGAGGTCTCTTCAGCATTCACTGAGGCTTGTGCCGTCTTGACACATATGTTGACTAGTTTGTAATCACTGAATGTTGCTTCAGATCACGAGCACACTAGTCTATAATCTTCAGTTTCTATCTTTGACATTGCTGAAGGTTCTTTGGTATGAGTTTTGTTTTATTGAAGTATAGGAGTCACTGGAGAGTTACAATGCGTGTTCAGCGATCACTGAACAGACTCAGTGATAATCGTTGAAACTGAATAAATAGAAACACTATACTTCGATAGGTAAAAGGGATTATCATCAAATCAATGAGAGAAGATCGAAACAAATCCATATGTAGAATATGAAGAGGAGTAGTCACTTAGGAGACTTGCTTTGATTTGAAACTAGTTTTTGTTTGGTTTCCTTTCTCACACATCGAGCAAAGAGATTACTTTGCATAAGAGTGTTGAGGAAATCCAGTGACTAGTTCCTTTCTTGAGTGATCGTTTAGTGTCTTGAAGTTTGGATGAGAGAGCCTCTTGTGCCATAACCAATTTATGTCTAAAGAGGATTTAGAGAGAACACGGACGTTTTTAGTAAGAGAGGAGTCCATGTTGAAAACATAGACATTTTTCATTCGAGTACCAATCAGGGGAAGTTCTTTGTCCTTATGGCTGACTATACAAGTCTTCTTAGAGAAGGTCACTTTGAAATCTTTGTGCCGCAACTAACTAATACTAAGTCGATTGTGCTTTAGCCATTCGACATAAGCAACTATTCAGAAAGTAGTTACTTCATTACTCAGTACACCAAAACCTCCGGTGTAACCCTTCAAAGTTCACAGAGGGACCTTTCTATTTCTTGTATCAGTTAGCAACAACTTATTTCTAGTCATGTGCCTAGAGTATCCACTATCCAGATACCATGTACCCTTCAAGTCCTGAGACGTACTAGATGATTCGGTTCAAGAAGGAGTTTCAAATGGTTCATCTTTTACTTCTTTGACCCTAGCCATTAGACAAAAATAGGTTGTATCTTCTTTTTCAAAAGAAGAGTCTGCCTAATCATGCTCTTCAGCAATAAGACCTTTGCCTTTTCGATTGTAGTTTTTCATCTTTTTGTACTTTTTTCAGCTTCAGGTACTTTTCATCTTTTGAGCATATAGCGGAGGAGGGTTTTGAGATTTTCTTGGACCTGCATTCACTAGCAAAGTGTCCTTTCTTCTCATAATTAAAATCATATAGTTGTAGCCTTATCAAAAGGTGCCGATTTATGCTTATCACTAATAGCATAAATTTTATTGCCACGAATGTTGCTATTTCTGGAAAACTTTCTAAAAGGATTTGTTAAAAGGGCAGTGACTTATTAAATTATGAAAGAACAACATCTATTAAGCCTTCAGAGACAGTGGGTTCACATTCAGTGATTGTGAGAGTAGAAGAAGAATAAGAAGAAGAACTATTCAAGGGAATAGTATTTGAAGAGATTAAAGCTACATGTGAGCTTCTAGAATCTTTTGAATCTTTGATGAGATTCTTCTTTAGCTATTTGGACTGCTCATTATCAACAATATCCCGTAGAGAGCATTGAGAGACGAGTTTTAGAGATCTTTAGATACCTTGATACACATCGAATAGGTGTCCCATAATTGAGGCAAACATTCCAAAAAATTTATCAGAGTCTCTGAGTTAAAATATTCTCTATCAACAATTCTAAGGTCAATTAATAAGCCATAATAGCATTGATGTACCTCAAATAGAGACTTATTTTTGCCACACATGAACAGTTCCTGCTACCTTACCAGATTTATCTTTTTTGGTTTTTTTTATTTTAGTTGTACTTTCATATTGAACACATAGAGGTTTTAAGATTCTTTACAAAGTGATAAACCACGTTAGGAAGAGCCATAGAGATGATAGTTATGCTTTGGCATTGATGTCCACCTTATTTCTATCATCATGTCCATAGGATGGACTTTCTTTGTTACATGTCTTTTAGGAACGACAACAGTAGTAGTAGTGGCAGGKACAAATTTAATGGTCACAGATGGAACATAGGGTCCATTACTAATATAGAAAGGAATTTCAGGATCTACATCTTCAATGAAGAGAGACATACGACTTTTCTAGAGAGCAAAATTATCTCTGCTAAATTGTGGAGGTATGGCAAAAAAGCGATTGTCGTTATAGTTGTTTGCTGTCGTAGCCATTTTAGAGAATAATTAGGAGAGAATGAAAAAGAGAAGAGACATAACTCTGATACCACTTGTTAGCCCTAAAGGGTTCTACAAGAGTTAAATAGTTTGTAGAAGTGGGGGTTGAATAAAACACAACTTTTTCACTTTTTAAATTCATTTATTGATTAAGGAAGAACCAATACAGGAATTTATGGATTGTTGCAGAACAAGAAAAGAAAAAGTCCTAATCTAAACAATCTAAGGAATCACAAAGCTTTTCTTGCACAAAAGAAGATAAATGAGAAAATGAGAAAGATAGAATAAGGCATTATGAGAAGTGTCTCTAAGAATGAGAATTCTCAAATATTTATAGCCTATGCATTTAATGCACCTTAGTAGGTACAATCCACATGTTAAGCGGCATGTGGAATTCATGCCCTTGTCCATCAGATATTGCATACTTTTATCCACATGTGAATAGTTGTCGCATAAAGTTGGTGAGCACGTTTGGAGACAAGCAAGTAATCTATACTGTACCATTGTCGGGTTGAGGCATGGGGTATATACTTTTGGGCAAGAGGATAACACAAAACAATCTTGATTCGAAAGATATTGATCCAGCCATTGCAAGGATCACCAAGGACTTCTTCATGTCGCTGATAACTTGGTCAAGAGTTCACATTTAATTTAGGTAGTATGGTATCACTAAACACCACTTCACATCATGAGTAGACTATCTTTGTTTTTAGCTACTTATGACATCGCTGAAGTTATATATGATGTGAGTTTGTCTTTGAAATACTTTAGCTCTAATACGGTTACACATATGTTCAAAGATCACTGAATAGACTCAGATGCGTATTGATTGTTGAAATTGAAACTTTAATAGAACTTAAAGCATACACTAAGTAAAGGATCATCACAAAATGACTAAGAGAGTTTGGATCGACAACATCATGAACACATTGGGCAACCGCAAGCCAATTCTGCAATTTGTATGACATTCAAAGCTTCATCAACTTCAATATCTATACTAGCTTATAATGCATTTAAGAAAAACACTTAAATACTAGTGACAAAGCCTAATGTACAACTATGTTATACTTAAAATTCAAAAAACTATGAATTACAACATGAAGCATATTGTACTACTTTATAATAACCATCACCAACACAGCCGAAAATGAAACTTTCAATTTCACTTTCTATATTCCAGCTTTCTTGCTCCCTGTTTACAGCTTCCTTCCTCACATTAAGTCACTTCAAACCATCTTTCTTCCTTTCAGATTTCTTCCTCCCAATGTCACTGCCTTTTGTTTCTTTTTAGAGGTCTCTGCAACCCTTCTCTCTTCCTTCCAACTTTCTTTTCCTCCCATGTTTATGGCTCTCACTTAAAAAAATGTTACTACATTTTCTTTCTTCCTTCGATGACGATTCAGACTCCCTATTGCTGATTGAAGACCATATATTATACAATTAGGGTTCAATTACTCACTCTCAATAACATTCGAAGAACAGGTTTGTTTTTCGTTTATTTTGATTTTCGTTTCGATTTTGGTTTTGACCAACATGTTTGTTTTGTAAGAACAGGTAATTTAGTTTTCTTTCCATCGATTCATACATCTGTTTGATTTCTTTTGGATTTCCATTGATTCACGCTTCATGGTTGTTGATTTCTTTTGGATTTTATGTTTTTCTTGATTTCTTCAATACGTCCTTGAGGTGCAGATAAGGTGTTCGAGGAAATGCCTAAAAGCGACTTAGTGTTTCTTGCAAATGTTTTCTTGGTCTCTCTAATCTGTCCTCAACGGTTCTTGCTTTGTGAATCCATGGGTTAATTGGATGAGGTATAACTCAACCCACTGCAGATTTGTAAGCATTCAAAGTTTTAGATATTCCAGCATTTTGCTAAAATTTTGAGCATTCAAAATTTTGACCACAGTAGGAACATCGCACCATAGAAATACCAAAACACCACAGTGACCTCCACGGTTAATATGAGTTTAGGCCATGGCCACTTCTTGTATGTGCTGATTGCTGAACGTATGTGTTGGTTGCTGAAAGTTGGTCCCTTCTTGATTTGAGTTTATGTTTTTATATGGTTTAGTCATTGCAATTTGAACCATATGTTTGTTTGTTTCTTGTGATTTAGGTATAGAGAGGGAAATCACAGCATTGCAATTAGAGGTATGTTTTATGCTTTCATTACATTGTGATTACCTTCTAACAATCTTTATTTGATACTTCTTGATCTTGAATCAAATTGCTGACATAGCACTATTCAAGAATGTTAATTTTGTTGACATACCGCTTTTTTGTTGATAATTGTTGACCTTGTGGACTAAAGAATCATACAGCCACCCCCTTACTCGATAATCTTTTGGTAAACGGCCACTTATTGACCATTGTATTTGCTAAATGCAATTAAAAACTTTCATCACCCTTCTTGTGCTTGGTATAAAGTTTAATGTGCTTTAGCAATTTACATAAATTGCTAGAAATTTAGAAACACATAATATTCTTTAAACTTAAAAGTAGTTTGTTTTTTTGATTTAGACGATGATTACCTCTACATGCATTCCAATTTACTCAATTCGGAGTGCCATTTTCTTAATCTCCATCCACGATGATACTCCAGATCATCCTAAAATAGTACAGAAAAGATTAAAAATATGAGTTCCTGAGTGCTTTAAAATCAGGTATTTTAGATGAGTTTTGAGGTAAATACCGAAATATAGAGAATAAAATTAGGAAAGAAAAATGAACAAGTTTGAATACTTTGTTTCTTTTCCTTTAAATCTAAATAAAATTTTATATGCTTGAAATGCATGGCATGATATCTGAACATAAAGGACATTTAGGTACACTGGAATTTGGAATTGACATTAACTACTATTGCATTGTTTATATATGGTTTAGTTATTGCATTGTTTTTATATGTCTGCCTATTAATCTTTTGCTGATAGATTTTGTTGGATATTGCATTGTTTTTAATTGATTTAGATCTTCATGCATTTTACGGTTGGATATTGAATTGTTTATCACTTTATGTTTGATAACCCTCTTAAACCAAATGACCCAATTGGTTACAAAGTTTAAAATGCACTTGATGATTCAAAAAGTGTAACAACTATCGAGAATGCAAACAAATTGTTTATATTCACCACTTGTTATTGTGGATGTTTTGTATATATCCTTTCATCTTCAAACCAGAAAACTTTTGGTAGAACTTTTCCAGAATTAAAATACTTCATGGAAGTGTCAATTCTTTTTAATGCCAGTTACCGTACTAGACAAATACATAATTAAATATACGTATTTCGTTATTAAATTATTAACGTCAAAGCAAAAGGAAAAGCCACAATTGCTTGAATCTATATTGTTTAAACCCATTTAACCATAATTAACTATGAGTACAATAATCACATTGGAATTAAATGACGGGTTAATAATAAGAATCATAAAAGCACATGATCGAACTCGATAGTCTTGAATAAATTAACACCATAATCATAAATTAACTCCTTCCATTTAGTCATTGCATTGTTTTTATATTTTTTAGTTATATGATTTAGTTAATGCAATTTGAACCATATGTTGGTTTGTTTCTTGTGATTTAGGTGTAGAGAGAAATCACAGCATTGCAGTTGGAGGTATGTTTTTAGCTTTCATGACATTGTGATTGCCGTCTAACAATCTTTATTCGATACTTCTTTACTTTGAGTCAAACTGCAGAGGTACTTTATCACTATTAAGGATCATTTTGCATGTAGATTGAAATTCTTCAGGACATTGCTTAAAGCGTAACATATTTGTGATCACTTTTGAAGAGCTTCATTGCATCTGTTGGTCCCGAATGGGATGACAATAAACAGAATGTAATTATAGAAGAGGGGGTTGAATTCTATTATTCAGATTTTTTTTGAACTTTTTAATTCTTATTGATGAGTATCAAGAATTAACATACAAAGATACAATACAAATTGTTGCGGAAGAAGGAAAGGATAACCGAACCTAAACATTCTTACACAGAAAGAACTTACATGAACAACACAAAGAGTACTTGCAAGAAAATGAAAAACACTAATTTTTCTTCATACACCGGAGAGTAGGAGAGGAGAGTAGTAGAAGAGAGTCGATTGCCTTGAGAATGCATATAGAATTTCTTCCAGGGAAGCGTAGTTTGATTGAGAGATGCACTATGTCTTTTATACTACCCTCATGCATTAAATGTATGGGGATACCTGTTACCTTAGGATAAGGAGGCAGGGGTTTACTTGACCATGGTTGATATATCATTTTCATCGTACTCTGCGTCCACATAGTTTTTAAGAGTTTTAGCCAAATTATTTATAATATAGTATAATAAAACAATTTATTTTTGGTTTAATATTATAAATTTTATAAAGATAATAATTAAGTATTATGCTAGAATTTAATAATTATACTAATTATATTTTAGATTTTTTATATTTAAAATGAGATGTTTATCCTGTATTTGATTGTGTTTATCTGCAGTTAGTTACACGAATTCAGATATGGGATGAAATCGGATAGGGATGAACGGGTTTAAGAGTTTTAAGAGCTTTAAGAGTTTTTAAGAGTTGTAGCCAAATGCTTTATAATATAGTATATCTATATATATCTATACTATCTTATAATGCATTTGGCAAAAACTCTTAAAAACTCTTAAAACTCTCAAAAACTCTTAAACCCGTTCATCCCTATCCGATTTCATCCCATATCTGAATTCGTGTAACTAACTGCAGATAAACACAATTAAATACAGGATAAACATCTCATTTTAAATATAAAAAAATATAAAATATAATTAGTATCTATACTATCTTATAAAACATTTGACTAAAACTCTTAAAAACAATCTATTGCTTTAATTACAACCTATTAAAGCATACTATCCCCGAAACCCGCCATCCCTAATCTGCGTATCCTGATCCCAATCCCATCTTATCGCCAACCATCCCTAAACCCAATCCCATTTTATCGCATCCCTAATCTAAACCCAATCCCATTTTATCTCCATCCCTAAAACAAATTTGATCGTCATTTTCTTTGATCGTGCTTCCATCGTCTTCTTCAATCTTCCAGGTAAACGTTTAGGGTTCTGTTAGCTTAGGGTGTTCTCGAATCTTCTTCGAAATCTGACCTGTGTTCTCGAATCTTTTTGTAGGTTCTTCAAAATCTGACCTGTCTTCCATCGTCTTCTTCAACGTTCAATCCATCTCCAGGTAATTATTTGGTTTGTTTTTACCATTCATGTACAACTCAGAAATCAAAATTTTCACATACCCATTAGGGTTTATGGAGTCAAGATTGGGCAAAAGCTCATGAACCCAGAAAGAGGACTCTTTATTTGTTATCTTTTATTTGATGGAGTCAAGATTGGGTCCATCCCGATCAACTTTCATGGACGTCATTGTCATTTTCTTTTAGGTTTTTTGATAATGATGAGTTAGCAACTCAAACTGGCAAAACTAAAAATAGAACATTTGTAATTGAATGCAATTGTAGTAACTGATTAGGCCTTTCTTTTTTTGTGGTAAAATCACTTGCAGTTCTGATACTGCCTCTGGTTTTCCTTGTATTTTGTATTTCTTGTTAGAATTTGGGATTTGCAGGTATAGATATCGATGAAAGAACTTGGATAATATATTGGATCGTGAAAGGAGTCACTCCGTAGGTAATATTTCAACCCTATTGCAGCCTCTGGGTATATCAAACTTCACTTTGATATACTCCAAAATACACCCTCAAGAATCAAGATTTGAAGGAAAAATCTAGAGCAAATCCTCATTCGTTATTTTTTTGAGAAAAATGATTTACAAGTATATTTGAAGATCTAGAATTTAAGAGAAGGTTCTCTCTATGTTAATAAAGATATCTAAATGATTTACAGGTATATTTGGTAGTAATATGAGCAAGTGCCATAAATTTAGTCAATCGCTATTATACCTAGGTAATTATGCACAAAAGGACTTCTCATACCAGAAATACCATGAAGTTGACATCAAAACCTTAAATCCTCTTAATCAGTGATATACGTGATGAACCCTTTTTAGATTATAGCTGATGTTATATCATATGATATTATTTGGAGCTTTCTCAATCATCATGTTGCACTCATTGTTTTTTTCACTAACAAGATCTTGCTGGGGATGTGGTTCAAAATTTGAAGGACTTCTCCCGGACTATGTACAAAAAGGTCTGTTTCTTGTATAAAACTCCCAGAAACATATGTAAATAACTTGATATATTTCCTGTTATAAGGTGAACAACACAAATGCTTGTGTAGGTACAAAAGCTTATATTGAAGAGTTTAAAGCCAATTACAGAGGATCCGAGTCAGAGAAAACTGATTTGATTGATCTTTACAAGAAGTACAAAGGTCATATGAATAAGTAGTCATTTTAATCCAGTAAACCTCTGCCATAGATGCTCTCTACTTTCAACTCTGATGATTGAAGATTGTTGATCTTGAATTGGTTGTTTGAAAAATCATTTGTGATGGTCATAAGCTGCCCTATCTTGTTTATCTTTCTCAATCTGATCTAAAACCTGACTTTTTGTCTTTGACTGGAGATTTTTGTTTTATCCTTCTGAATATGATAGCCAGATTTTAATTGGATCTTTCAGGAGGCACTAGCTGCACCTATTTGTGTTTTTAAGACGAAGATGATAAAAATATATGTTGCGACTTTGGGGGTCCATGTTATAGTTTTGGTATATATTCCTCTATTTTGTGTTTTTGCACTCATGATAAGGTCAACTGATGTGTGATCAATTTTTTTACCTAAATCCCAAATATATTTTCATAATTTTAGAGTAGAGGCAGTTATTGTATTCGCTTGATACTGGCAGATCATGCATTTGAGTTGCTGTCTGCCTGTGCATAAGAATTTCTTTGTATGAAGGTTTTTTTTCGTGTTATGTTTGAAACAGTATTGTTGAATTTGGGCATGCACATTATATTCCTGAAATGTTTCTTAAGTAACTTGTGCAATTGTCTCATAGAAACTCAATCTGGTCAATGGAGTGCTTTTCACCGGTGGATCATCCAAGGCAGGCCTATACTTTGATGTTGTTGAGGGAATTTTTAATGTAAGTGCACCTTTTTTATACAAATACTGAAATACATAAACTACGTCAAAAGGCAAGAGTAAAATAGGGTGATTATTTTTCCCTTAACTTACCGAAAAGAGTGTCATCTTACTTATCATTTTGAAGCCACCTCCGAAAAATTTCCAAAAACCTCTTGCCTTTGAGTAATGTATTTGATGAATTAGTCTTCATATAATTACCCATCTAGAAAACAACCTATTTACAATTGAATTATTGAAGTCATGTGGGATAATTATCCTACAATAACATCAAACCCTTAATCTCAAATGTTTTGGGGTAGGCTGATAATGGAACTTCCAGCCGTTGTTAAAACAATTACTTGAAGTTTGTTGCCATGAAACCGATATGGTTTATAACTTCTTGCTTCATAGTCATATGCTCTTAACATTATTGGCTTCTTTTAATCTCTAYTTTTSCAGCAAGTYCTGAAGAAGAATGATGCAGGTGACCTTTTGCAGCAAGTCCTGAAGAAGAAGCTGTTTTTGGGGTGGGTTAACCTTTTGATTTATCTCTTTGTAATTGTTTGTGTCGCAGCTGTATCAATGATCATGTTTATAATTATAAATACATTTTTGAGACAAATGAATGATCGTTAATTTCGTTAAGGATTGAAATGTTGAATATAAAAGTCAATGATTATACTTGCAGTTGGTAGATTAGTGAGTATAGTAGTACAGACATGACATCTCATCAATTCTTTAGTTTTAAGTGTTGGATCAAAGAGACAAATTTCATATGTAGCTTTGCTGATTCGCTGTCTCTCTCCCCCTCTCCCCCTACATATATCAATGCAAATGAAGAGGGTATTTGTATATAATATATATATATATATATATATATATATACATATTTATGCAGGCTTCAGGGAGAAAGGAAGGACGTTGAGAAAGCAACATTACCCAGTTGACTTGATTTTTAACCTTACTCTATCCTTTATCCTTTCCTCCATTGAAGAAAAGAGAAATTGCAAGGTGAGTGATTACTACATTAATGATTTTTTTTCTGCATAGTTACTGTTGTATTTGGATGCATTTCTTTTGATGTTTAAAGCCATGAGAAACACAAAAATGAAGGAGACTGGAGAGATTGAAAGAGATAGGGAGGAGATCGAGAAGAAAATGATGATCATGATCACCTTCAAGTTTCAAAGAGGCTGCAACCATGGACAAAACAGATCACAATTCGAGGAGTTATTGCAAGCATTATTATAGGGAGCATTTACGCTGTTATAGCCATGAAATTGAATCTAACAACTGGGATGACTCCTAATCTGAATGTCTCAGCTGCACTTCTTGGTTTTGTGTACATAAAAACTTCGTTCAAAGATTCTTCATAAATCTAGGATGTCCACCGTTCCCTTTACGAGGCACGAGAACACGATGATTCAGACATGTTCAGTTGCTTCTTACACCATTGCCATCGGAGGTTTCAATCTTCAAATCCTAATTTTTCTTTCTTTTACATGTTGGAATGTGTTTCTTGGTCTTTAAATTTGAATATTATTTGGTTTTGGTGACAAATTTTAGGTGCATTTGGGTCATACTGGTGCTGAACAAGAAGACATATGAGATGGCAAGAGGTGCAAATTCTCCAGGGACATACAAAGAACTTCTTGTTGGTTGGATGACGGGCTACTCTTTCTTAAGCCGTTTTGCTGGTCTTTTTGTATTGATTCCACTTCGAAAGGTGCATGAAATGTCTGTATTAATTCTTCATATCCAATTTTATATATTACCGACATATTAACACTTTTTTTTCAACATATCTAATTGTTGACTATAAGCTAATATTCCCAAGTGGCATGGCCACGACTGTTCTTAACAATGGATTTCATAGTTAGGGAGACGTGATGGCAAAGTATGTCCATAACATATTTCATAAACCATTTTGCAACGTTGTATTGTACACAACTATACATCCTTAACAACTGTTTTTCCGCATATGATTATATGTAGGAAGCAAATCAAGGGGTTTGCCAAGTTCTTTTCAGTCAATTTCTTGTGGGCAATCTTTCAGTGGTTTTTCACTGGAAAAGGAGAATGTGGATTTGCTCAATTCCCTACTTTCGGATTGGAAGCTTATATGAACACGTAAGGGTTCTTTCTCTATTTCTATTTCTCAATTCCCATGAGAAGGCTTTAAGCATTAGTGGTTCAAAATGCCCATGAGAAGGCTTTAAGCATTAGTGTCATAGTGTGTAAAATGCCCATGAGAAGGCTTTAAGCATTAGTGTCACAGTGTGTAAAATGCCCAGCAAGCAGTAAGGCTGTAAGCAGAATGTGACAAGGTCTATTAAGGTGAGCATTAGTGTAATAGTGTGAAAAATGCCCATGAGAAGGCTTTAAGCATTAATGTATAAAATGCCCATGACAAAATCTATCATTGTGTAAGGCTCTAAGCAAGCAGCAAGTCTGGGTGTAATTTCATAATCAATTATCATCAGAGATTCAGTTTTTATATCTAGGTTTATTTCAATATTTAATACCCATTAAATATTTTTATGGCGCCACAATTTTCTATTTTGGGATTTTCTGTGTTGCTATGTTTCCTAAACAAGTTAAGTGACTGTTTGTTTGCTGGTATTTAGTTTGATAAAATATACATTCGCTCCATCTTTATGCACATACGTTTACTTGTCTCTTTCTTTTCTTTGCATTTACCAAGTTGAGCTCTTGTTATCAAACAATACATCGATCGAAGGTAATTATCTTTCATTTACAATTTGTTTGTTTTATGTATTTTCATTTGATATAGTTTGCAAATATTAAGAATATAATCCTTTCATTGCTTAATATTTTTTCACTTTGATGGTTAAAAGTTTTATAGCAACAAGAAGATTGACAGAATGAAGAAAAATAAATTGAGTGAGGGGGAAATCAAGATACTTAGAAGGATGAAGCTAGCCAGCTAATCTTCAACAAGTGAAAGTTAATATTATCACATATGCATGTATAATTTTTTAGGTGGTGATGCATGCCTACTCTAAGGACGTTATTATAGATAGTGTTTTTGTTACTTGGGTTAGCGTTGTGCCTTGTTCTTCAAACAAAAATGGAAGAACATTGAATTGCACATAGTCGGAACCTGTTTTCAATTCGATTTATTTGTCTACCTCTTCTCTACTACTTTTCTTGTCTATCATAGCATCACTATCACCATCGCTGCCAAGGAATTTGAAGTTGTGATACTTATTCTTTATGATCATGATATGGATAGTGCCTCAACTCATAGTGAGTTGAATAAATTTCAAACTAATCCTTCTTCTTCAATCTATATTATGTTATAGTAAAACACTTTTAGTATACTTATCGTAATTTTTACAAGTGCTTTTATGTTCATGGTTGTTTAAACATATATTTTGGATTTTATTTTTTAATTACAAATTACAAATTACAAAAACTACAAACCACCAATGCTTAAGTCGGTCTCTAAAAGCTAAGAACAACAAATGACATGGACTAAAAAACATTGTTATCCAACTATTGTATTTCAAAATCTTTGACCAATCAATCATATTAACTTTAAATTTATGTATTTGATTGCTATTTAAAATCACAACAAACTATATAATTTTGGATCAAGGGACGAAGAATAAAAAAAAGATGAAATGATTGTATTCAATCATCTTAGACTAGAATACAATTGGCAGATTCTTAGGGTGCATTTGTTATGCAGGACAAAACAAAAACTTCATACCATGTTGGGTGTGATGATGAATTTATGGGTAACAACTTTCTATAACAATCTCTTGTAGATATTTCGGAATCTAACGTGCTGTTTGGTTTGCAGAATTCAAAGAAAATCAATGGAATTGGAATGACCAAATTCCAAAACCTTTGTTTGGTTCACATGTTGAAATGGATGAATTCCACAAATTAAAGAATTGATCATTCATTGACATAAGTGAAGGAATTGAGTTCCAGCAGTGCCCATCACTTGTCCTATAATTGAATTCCAACAAGAGGAAAAAAAAAAACAAAGGTTTGATCATAATGAATATAGAAAAGTAATACAACTTATAAAATGGTTGAATAGGAGGCGACATTCATATAGAGGTGATATCCATGTTGGCTTATGCTATATGTTGCTTAAGTTGACGTTCAACGATCAAAATTTATGCATATGATTGGTGGTGTCATCAATTTATATACCAAAAAACATATGGTTAAAAATACAAAAAATAGGAAGCAATGCAAAAGCAACTACATAGTGTTGACAATGACAAATAATGTATCATTTTTCTAGCATTGACTCCTTCCTGCTGTTGTGAGGAGTGATGCCCATTGTATAACAGGTAGTATTGGACACACTATATTGATGGTTGTAAAAAGAAGGTTTAATAGTGTTTTTAATCGTTTGCAATTACTGCATTACAACTTCTGCTAGGTGTGAAGTGTCCTTAATGTACTGGTGGTTGTATATTTGCGTAAAAAGATTGTTTTCATGATGATGAAATCAAAATGGGTAGGCATCAAGGTTGTGAATAAATAAAGTTTGCCATATATCTCCAAGAAAAGCATATGATAAATATTTTTTTTTTTTTCTAAAGCAACGATATCAAGACAGTTAACTATCGAGATTGAGAAACACATGTGGAGTCGTTTAAATACATTGGATTTTAAAGTGTCATACAATTTTTTTCATTGATAGACTGTAATTGGAACCATAACTCTTATTTATTCAAATTGTATTAATATGTAAAGACCAAGTGTAAGTTATATCATCGTTAAAATCTTCTCTAACAAAACCACTAAAGCTTCAAAATTATTAAAATTCATGGCTCCCGCCGCATTGCGCGGGTACACAACTAGTATATATATATATGGGTTGATTCAAATGTTAACCAATCTTGGCCATTAATCTTTGAAATTTGTGGCTAATATCATTCATGACATAAAGTGTAATTAATTGCACACATAGACAAGATAAAATAAGTGAATAATATTTGCAAGTGGTATTTTGGGAAAACAGCTTAGTTGTCCATTAATGACAATGAGATGTTTTATAACCATCCATTAATGACAATAGGATGTGTTGTAACTGCCCATTAATAACAATGTAACTATCCGAAAATTAATCTCGTCATCGAATAAAAACCAACAGCAAGATCCTCGACACCAGATTCTTATACAGTTTTTTTTGTTAATGGTTCATATGTGAACAAGTATGCGATATTTATGAAATTGTTCATGTGTGAACAGGGGTGTATATGGAAAAAAATCGTAAACGACACAAGTGTGCATATATGTCAATCTGTGTTTGTATTTGATACAAGGCTTCATATATGTCAATATGTGTTTGTAATTGACACAAGAGTTCATATATGTCAAGTTGTGTTCATATGGTTGTATAAATGTTCATATATGTGAATTTGTGTTCATATGGTCACACATGTTCATCTTTCGTATGTACATTTGTGTCAATATGTGTTCATATTTATACCAACTGTACATATATGTCAATCTGTGTTCGTAATTGACACAAGGGTTCATATATGTCAAGTTGTGTTTGTAATTGACATAAAAGTTCATATATGTCGAGTTGTGTTCATATATGTGAATTTGTGTTCATATGGTCACACATGTTCATCATCTTTCGTATATTCATTTGGGTCAATATGTGTTCATATTTATACCATCTGTACATATAGATCAATCTGTTTTCGTAATTGACACAAGTGTTCATATATGTTAATTTGTGTTCGTAACTGACACAATGGTTCATATATGTCTAGTTGTGTTTATATGGTTGTACGAATGTTCTCATATGTGAATTTGTGTTCATATGATCACACATGTTCATCATCTTTCGTATATGTCAATTTGAACGATACCGAAAACTTTACTACCAGATCTCTTCTACAAATCACAAATTCATAAACATTAGAGATAGAAAATCAATATTAAAAAAATAACAAAATGAATAATAAGTTAACACAAATCATGAAATTTTATGATTTTGTAACTCTCAATTAATGATATAGGAGTTACATAAAAAAATTACATATGTATCCTTGTCATTAAATTCTAAGATGAATATGAACCTAATACTAAGATGTATTGTGATTGGTTGAAAATGGATAACAAAGTTAACACAATATTTTGGGTTAACATTTAAACCAAACACACACACACACTCTCTCTCTCTCTCTCTCTCTATATATATATATATATATATATATAGAGAGAGAGAGAGAGAGGGGGGGGGAGCGATCATATGCAAACCACCCCCTTTTGTGCAAACTCTACAAACCAATTTTATTCATCCATTTTCTTGATCAATGATCATGATTAAAATGTGTTCTATTAGAAAAGTAAAAAAAATAAAATAAAAGGTTTAATATTTAATCAAGAAAGGGTAAATTTGGCAAACCATTGTTCGTCTCATTTTTTGAAATTGGTTTCATCAATAAAAACATTTTGGAAATTGTATCTTGTTTTTTCGTTAGTGAAATTAGTGAATTTGGTTTCACTAATAAAAACATTTTTTAAATTGTATTTCATTTTTTTCATCAATGAAATTGGTTTCATTGTTCGTTTGCATAATGAAATTTGAGCCAGATATGGTTCAGTCAATTGAACATTTTCCAAAAATCTGAATAACATGTTTTCGTTAATAAAATTCGTTTCATCATTGAAATTAGTTTCATAGACTCCACAATTCCAAAAACTGAATGACATTGTTTCAGCAGTGAAATTTGTTGAAATGTTTCCTAACCAAAATGAAATAGGTTTCATGGTTTCTAACCAAGATAAACTCTGTTTTATATATGAAACTAAATATTGTTCAGTCAATGGAACACTTTAAGCACTAAATAATAATATTTCATTCATTTTTAAATTTGTTTCATGTTTCCTAACCAAATGAAATTGGTTTCATAGTTTATAGCCAAGATAAAATTGGTTTTATTAATGAAAACAAATATGGTTCAGTCAATGAAACATTTCAATACCAGAATACTATTATTTTATTAATAAAAGTAGTTTCATGGTTCCTAACTAAAATGAAATTTGTTTCATTTTTCAAAAATTTTGAAAACTTTGTAATATGGTTTCATTAATGACATTTGTTTTACGAATGAAAACAAAACAATATATTCAAAATCTGGAAAATATCACAACTATATTATTAATAAATCAGTAATTACTTGTGAATTGA